ACAACAACGACGGGTGGTGGTGAGATAAATAGATATGTGACATTAGCCAAATTAGTAAATAGATAAGTGACATGTGTACATATAAATAATATTTGAATATATAATAAATAGGTAAATTATAGACAAATAAATATTATTATTTTGAACAGATAATAATCTTTTGGTCAAAAAAACATATCTAAGTTTGAACCTATTGACCTGATAATTTCAGAAATAGACTTCTAACCTAAGTATTTAAAAATAAAATAAAAACAAAAATTAAAAAACAAAAGCATTAATATGCAAACTTAGAAAAAAATTTTAAAAATAAAAATATATTTCCAAAAATAATAAATAATGATGAAAAGAGAGGAAAAAAATAAATAAAAGGTACCATTTGGTAACATTTGGATAAAAAAATAAAAAGACGTGTTTGATTTACTAATTTTGAATCAATTAATCAATCATTTTTTTTCTTCTCTCTCATTCTCTCACACTTTATACATCAATTAATTAAATTTTATTCAACTAAAAAAAGAAAATATATATATATATATATATATAAATTATCTCAAAATTATTTTCAAAACTCATAATTAAATAAATTTTTAATTTTTATAATTTTTTCCAATAACTTATCTTTTAAAATATAAAACTCTATTGAAAAAATAAATCAGACGGAGCCAAAGATTCTTGAAAATTGAAAGAAGAATAGAGATGGGGGGTTGAAGGACAAGATCCGATTAAGCCGTTGATGCACTTGCGCCATCACCACCGACAACCCCTCAATTTGGGTAGGCCCTTCACAAAATACTTTTAGAAAACAAACAATTTTTTTAAAAAATAAAATATAAATTGTTTTGTTGTTTAGCTATTGCCCTACCCATTTATTTTACTTACCCATCTCTCTCATTTATTTATTTATTCATTTTTCTTTTCTTTTTATAATCACTATATATACAAAGATTTCACTTTCAAGATCAAATTATAGTAGATGCTATGAACCTAACCATCAATTCAACCATGGAATAATTTTTGAATTTCTTGCCAACTAATTAACACCGTTAATCATCATTAGTATTATTATATTTTTTTTTTACGAATATAAGATTGGTCAAACATTTATAATTTTAATTTGTGACATTAGTATTACCTGGCTAATTGTTTAAACTCAAAACACAAAAATATTGTCAACAAAAATTTTAAACGAGAATTACAAATCAATAAAAATAGAAAAAAAAATAAAAATATAGACATATAAATAAAGTATGTTATAGTGCAAGTAAAACCACAATTTTTATTTATGACTCTATATTTTGCATTTGTTATTATTTTTTAACTTTTCAAATTGACTTGCATTTCTCTTAAATTTTTATTATCTCGCTTACATGAGATAAATGTCATACAATGAAGTATGATAAATTTTAAAAAAATGATATTCAATTAGACAGTAACCAAAAAATCTTCATTTTATAAGATGCAAATCTTCTCTGTGTATAAAATAGTTTTTTCAAAACTATTCAACTGAAATACTATTTTTTTTACAAGATAGTGGTTAATATAGGGAATTTTTTTTAAAAGTTTTTGATATTAAAATTTTATAGGATAAAGGACATGTAATATTTTCATAATGGTTGGGGGTCTCTCAACATTTTTTCATAGAAATGTCAATCTAAAGAAATTTTAATCCAGAGAAATTTCAAAACACATTGAAATTTCTCTGGATTGCTCAATTTCTCTAATTTTCTCTGTGTTTTAAAATTTCTCTGTATTTTGACAAATTTTCTCTAGGTTGAAATTTTGCTCACAATTTTTTTTGTGTTTTGATCTATTTGTTTTGGTTTAAAATTTCTCTGATATACTCACAATTTTCTTTGTCTCTGCGTTTTGACCAAATCAGAGAAAATTGAACATATTAAAAAAAAATAAAAAAGGGTAAATTACATTTACCTCCCCTGAGGTTTCTGACAAATACAGGAACATCTCCTGTGGTTTGAATAATTACAGTAACCTCCCTTACTTTATCTGACAATGTCAAGATTCCCCCAAAATTTGACCGCCGTTTATACACCTAACCGTCCCTGCTGATGTCATCAACTATAAACACTAAAATACCTATAATGCCCTCAAGTACCTATAATGCCTATAATGCCTATAATGTAAACACTAAAGTGCCCAATGTAAACACTAAATTTTATTTTTTCATTTTAAATATATATTTTTATTTAAATATTTTATTTTATTTTGTAAATATTTTAATTTTTTAATTTTAAGATTTTAAACTCAAAACACAATTTCACACTCAAATCATAATCAAACATATAACTCAAAACTCAATTCAAATATTATTTTTAAACCTCATAACCAAATATATAACTCGAAACTCCACACTATTTTCAAAACTTTACACTCAAATCATAACAAAACACATAACAAAAAAATTAAAACATTTAAAAATATATTTATAAAATAAAATAAAATATTTAAAATAAAAATTACATATTTAAAATAAAAAATAAATTTAAAATTAAAAAAATACAACACATAAATGTATGAAATATAATGCACATTAAAATAAATAAATAAATATTTAAAATATAAAACATTTATCCTAAAAAAATAAAATTAAGAAAATTTCAAAATACAACTTAAAACTCAAAATACAACTCAAAACTCATAACTAAACAAATTCAATTTAAAACTCATAATTCAAAACACAACTACACACTTAAATCATGGTTCTAAAAATAGTTTTAAAAAATAAAATAAAAATATTTTTTAAAATTTTTTCTTTTAAAATAGAATTATGAAAAGAATTTAGTTTTGAATTTTGAATTGAATTTTAATTTGTGTATTTGATTATGAATTTTGAAAGAAATTTTTAAATTAAATTTTGAATAATTTTGAATGATAACTTAGGTTATAAATTCTAAAAAATGATTTAAAAATTTTACTTTTAAAATTATGATTTAAAAAACAAACCAACCACAGCCAAAGTTTCTTTAGATTACACTCAAAGGATGCGGGTCTCACACGATACCACTTTATATAAGTAATTCTATTCCTATGGAGATTAATTATAAAATTAGACATTTTTAAAAAAAATATGTGAGTAATAAAAACTTTCTAGAATCGATTTATCCCTGGGTGCCCCCACCCAAATCATGCCACGTCGTTGTAAGTTTTGAAATTTTTCAAATTTATTTTTTAGGGTAAATATTTTATATTTTAAATATTTTATATTTATTTTAATGTGCATTATATTTCATACATTTATGTGTTGTATTTTTTAATATGTTAAATATATTTTTTAAATATTAAAATTTTTTTAAAAAATTATTTTTTATTTTAAATGTATCATTTTTATTATAAATATTTTTAAATTATTTTATTTTATGGTTGTGTTGGTCAAAGCAAAAGGTTTTTTCATCTCTTACTTTATAACAGTGATGTTAGTCTTGAAGAAAGGATTTTTCGTCTTTTTGCAGGCAAAAGCAAGGGTGATATGGTCATTTTATATAAAATACTAACGTCGTTTGTGCAAAATAGACAGAATGGGGGAATCTTGACATTGTCAGGTAAAGTAGGGGAGGTTACTGTAATTATTCAAACTACAGGGGAGGTCTCTGTATTTGTCAGAAACCTCAGGGGAGGTAAATGTAATTTACCCAATAAAAAAGTATAGAAGAGAGGAGGGTGCTTTTGCTTGGTTAGGATTTCTAGTCATCTTGTGGTTGTTGAGGTAAAGTTTCTTCAATCCTAGAAGCTCCTTCTGCTTACTAGAACAAAGAAATGCCACTGTCAATACATCAACATAAATTCTTCAAATTGCTTTACATTTTAAAATCTTAAATCAACAAACACACCATTGAATAAGTGAACAAAGTTCATATTTTATTCTGAAGAAACTGAAATCAATCGGAGTGAGTGGTGGTGGTGTTTTTGGTTCGCTCTTTGCCATTCGTCGCTGTTCACCAACTCATCTCTCACCTCAACAATCTTCCCTCTAACTTTAACTGAGTATTCCTCTTCCATGGCCCTCTACCTGCACAAAAGATGATGGAGAGAAAAGGGAGAGCAGAGTGGAAGCAACAGTGAGGACATCCACTGCGCGTCGTTGCCCCTGCTGAGCTGTTACGTTGATGACTCTAGATCTTGAGAGAAGATGAAAATAGAGATAGAGAGATGAGCTGTTACGTTGATGACTCTAGATCTGGACAGAAGATGAAGATAGAGATAGAGAGAGGAGAGAGAATGAAAAGGTAGGTGTGATATATGAGTGTGGGTGAGAGACCTTAAGCTAAAAAAAAATATTGTAGATTTCTTCTATTACTAAAAGTTGGAGAGGAATATTAGACTAAATATTCCAAATTTGGGGATTTTTTTTTAATATCCCTAATATTTAAATTTTATAAAATAAATAATGTACACTATTTTTATAGTGGTTAAGGTCTCTCAATATTTTCGTAAAAAAATTTGATTCAGAGAAGTTTTACCCGACGAGAAATTTCAATTTTCATAGGTGGGGCCGAAATTTTTTTGAGTCGACCGAAATTTCTATATAAAAATATTGAAGGACCTTAATTAATAAAAAAATCATTTTGAACCTCTCTTATTATACAAAGTTAGAGAGAAATGTTTTACTAATTTTCCCGGTTAACATCTATTCTTAAATTCAAACTTGAAATGATATTTGCCCATCAATTTTTTAGTATATTAGGAAGATTAAAAACTTGTGTTAAACTAATTTATTTGGATATCTATCTTAATGTCCTTCTTGATACATACATGAAAACTAATGCAATGATAAAACATCATTAGATTCTTTACATCATACAATGATAAAACATCATTTGATTAAAAATTTTAATCATCACAAATTACTCTAAATTTTTTTCACAATTTGTGCAAAAACTTGACATTTTTGAAGCACAAATCAAATCGAAAAAATAAAAAAGAGACTAATCAAAGAGACTCAAACAAAAATAAATAAAAAAAAATTCATTAATAAAATCAGCATGTATATACAAAATGTTCTATCCCCTATTTATTATTATTATAATTGTAATAATAATAATTTTTTTGCGCAGTTTACACGTTATACATATCAAGTAAACCAAAAAAAAGCCACTCAAAATGGGCGAAAAAGGAAAAAATAAAATAAAAATTAACCAGCCTCCTACAAACCCGTAGTAATCGGCGAGTACTCGCCGTAGTAATCCGAAATCCCCGACGCGGCCCAGAGTCTCTCATTAAACGCGTCTTGCAAATCGTCGGGTATAAATTGGGTCCGACAAAGCGGGCAGGTCCGTTGATCGTGGTCCATCCAACGGTCCAGACAGCTCCGGTGGAAGATGTGACGGCAATTCGTCAGCCGTCGGATCTCATCGCCGCCGTCGAATTCGTAGAGGCAAACCGCGCAGCTCTCGGGCGGGTCCACGAGATCCGAGAACTTGACCACGGGTAGGAGTTCCCGGATCAGAACCGCGGAGACTGAGTGGGGCTCCGAAGAGCAGTCGGGTCGGACAGGCCATGCAATGTCGGGTTCGAGAAAATCGCCGAGACCCAGAGATCGGAAAAGGAATGAGATGAGTTTTCTGATGAAACCCAGAATGGAAAGTGTGTGGAGGAGGAGTTTTGGGAGGAGGAGCTCTGTGTAGCCAACTGGGAACCCCAGGTTTTGCTTGTTTATTCTAGAGAGAGAAAGAGATGGTTATAGAGAGAGTGTGTGGGTATGGGTGTGTACCGTGGGGTGGAAGGAGCTTAGTGTGTGTCTGTGTGAGAGGTGTCAATGGTGTGCATGTGTTGTGGGTGTGCCGTGTGTGAGGTGGGAAGAGAACCAGCCCCGATCGGACTAGAGTGGAGAGACCGACACGGCGGCGAGAGAGAGAGAGAGAGAGTGTGCCGTGTGAGGCAGGCTGCGTAACTGCGTTATATAGGCGGGTGTGGATCAAGATATATGTGCTATTATTGAAGTGCCTTTACACCCTCTTCAACCCAAAACTTAAAATATTTTATCAACTTCAAATGTAGTAAAAATTTGGTGAAATGGTATTCCACTGTTTTCACTAGATTGACATTAAATGGAGGGAGTCATATTTCTTTTTATCAAATTAAAAAAGTGTTTAATCTTTTATCAAATTTTATAGGTAATTGTTGGTAGATGATCGGGTGGATGACCTGCCCATTAACTGGGTGGATGAGCAGCTGGATAATCGGATGGACGATCGGATTGGAGAAAATTTGAAAAAAATTTACACTAGGCCGACCAATTGCTCTGATATCCTCTTGATCGTCCTCCTAATTGACTTGTTATTTGAGGAAAATTAAAAATTTAGCGTTAGAACGCTTGGTATCAGATGTAGTTTTTAATCCAAATTTTTACTCAAATTTGATAAAAAAAAAAGAAAAAAGAATAAGCGTTAGAGATGCTCTAATGGGGCTGATTTTGTAACAATAAATAATAGTCTAACACTATACAAATATAAAATTTTAAATAAATTACACTGTTTAGAGATATATATATATAAAAAAAAGGTAAATGGCACTGACATTCTTTCAGGTTAAGAGAAAATATAAAAACTTTCATAGTATTGATATAGTTATACTAACTTCTGTTTTAGTAAAAACTAAATCAACTCCGATTGGTAGCTCGAAAAAGGCGTGGCTCGAATGGCCCGACACCAAAACGATGTCGTTTTGGTGTTTTTTTTTTTTTTTTTTTTTTCCCATGTTTTTTTGAAGACGAAGAAGAAGAAGAAGGAGGAGAAGAAGAAGCTGGGTTTCATCAAAAGGGATTGGGTTTCATCAACATCAACAACCATTATCATCATCATCATCAACAACCATCATCATCATCATCATCAACAAATTTTTTTTTTTTTTGAAATCAGAGTTTGAAATCAACATCTTCAGATCCAGATCAACATCATCATCATCATCATCATCTCCAGATCTTCATCATCTTCATCATCATCAACAACAAAAAAATTCATCATCTTCTTCAACAAAAAAAAAAATAAAAATTTCCCCCTCTTCCTTTGTTCTCGAAAATTCATCATCTGCTTCATAGCCTGAGATTGGATCTTTATCATCTTCTAGTAGATCTGGAAGTGACGAAGCCACAGAGCTCATCATCTTCTCTTAGAGCTCTTCCTCTTCTCTTCTCTCCTCTCTTCTCTCTCTCTCTCTCCCCTCTGTATTCACGAATGAAAAAGAAAAAAAAAATACAAAATGACGTCGTTTTTGTATATTCGAGTTAAGTTCGAGCCACCGTTTTCGAGCAACGGATCATTTTTCAAACTCAATATACTATAATTAATGTAAATGATATGAAGATACAATGATAAATAAGGTAAAATATACATTTTAGTATAAAATATATGATAATATTATTTTTCTATTTATTTGACTAATGAATTATTGATGAAAATGAGGTTAAGTGTTCATTAAGAGTTTAAGGAAACTCAATGTAATTATATTAAAATTGTGAGATTGCTTGTATTTTTTTCAAATTTTAGGAGAGATCAGTGTAATTTATCCAAAAAATTATTGTCACATAATTACATTGACTTCTTTTTTAATAAGATTAAAGAGAAAAACACAAATAATAAATAAATATTAATATAAAATAAATGATTATTAATAAAAATAAGACTAAATATTATGTAAATTAAATTTTTAAAGAAATTTAATATAATTATATCATATTTACTGAAGTAAAAATAAAATAAAATGCAAAATTTTGAAAAAAAAAAAACTAAAGACCAAAAAAATATTTGACTTTTTTTTTCAGTAAATTTTTGAGTTTTGAGTTTTTTTTATTTTTTAAAATTTTCAACATTAGACAGGCTAGAAAAAGTAAATATTTTGACACAAATTAAAAAACAAAAGAAAGTGATTTTTTAGTTGAATAGTACTACTAGAACAAGTACAGATGATGCCTAAATTAACATCAACAAATCACTGTTATGGCTTTGTTTGACGTGTGTTAAAATAACACATTATTTTATTTGAATCATATCATCTTTTTATCAAATTACTTCAAATCGAACTCATATTTTATATTTTTTTTTCGTAAAAAGTTAAAAAATATATTAATCTACCACTTTCTAAACAATCTTTAAGTTTTATTATCAAATATATATTGCATCATATTATTCCATGTCATGTGTATATAAGTAGTAATAAACCATGTCAGATCTTATGTTTAAAAATAAATAGAACCCACTATTTCATATTTGGAGCCATATAGAAAGGAAATTACCTAGAAAGCGAAGAATTATGATAAAATATTGAATAAATTACACTAATCTTCACTAAGTTTTAGAAAAAATATAAATAGTGTAAAAATATAAAAATATATTTAAGTATAAAAGAGAGAATAATTATTTTTCTATCTAACGAATTACTAATAAAACATTATGTGAATTAAAAATTAGAAAAAATTCAATATAATTATATATCAAGCTTACGAAATTTATTATATTTTTTTCAATTAATCCTAAAATATTTTAATGTACTAGAGGTTTTTTTGTAAGATACAAATTGTGCGCATTTTTTGGGCATTTTGATCAAGCATTGGTCGGCGTGGCGTGAGTCACCATTCATATATATAACTTTCTTAATTGCTTTGAATTTTTATTTTTATTTTTCGACGTCTTTTGCAACGATAACTATTAATAGAAAAAAATAAATTAAAAAAGCTTCTTATATGGCAATCTCGACTAGAGCTAGCACAACACAATTAAGATATAAAATTATCATAAACAATTACCCAAAAGAATGGCTGAAATATAGAAGTGTTATTGGTAATTGAGACCAAAATTGTTTTGTTTTATAGGATTTTGTCCATAATGGTAAAGTTGTAGTAAAATATATATATATATATATATATATATAATACATAGAGGGTTAGAAACTTAAGTTCAAATTAGTATGGACCTAAGTACGAATGTCATCTTTATTAGGAGACTAGGAATGACAAAAAGAGTATGGCCTAAAGCCCAAAGAAAGTAAGTCAACAATGGGCCAAAGTAGGTGCGACCCGCCAAAGATCTGAACAGACTTTATGAGGAGAAAATGTCTAAGTCAAGCTGTAGAGACATTACTTACAGCGATCAAGTTACTGAGATACTTTGTCTTAATGTCGTCATTCCAAGTATTGCTGGTGCTACCGCCATCTGAAGTTGCTGAGAGAAAGAGAAAACTGGAACAACTGAGTTACAGAGGCAACACTTGCAGTAGCTAAATTGCAAAGGTATTTTGTCAGAGCTGCTATCTATAGTATTGTCGACACTGCCATTTGAGCTCGCCACAAGAAATAGATACCCCAACAGTTACAGCCACCGCAACAACTACAGTCGTCGCAACTAACTTGTTAAGGAAAAACCCCACCAAGGTGATAGCAACCTTTAAGAAGAGCTTCCCTCCACAAATAGAGGCTAACGCTTGGTGTTGATAGTAGACCCCAAAGCATTACTAGCCTAGCGTTGATAGTAGGCTCCAAAGTTTACTGATTGGAGTTGATAGTAGGTCCAGAGATACCAGTATACCGCGGTGATCTCATGAAGATAGGAGCATGGCAGTTGAAGTACAAGGGACTCCCTTTCCATCCACCCAGGTCATAGACCTGTCTTGGCCGCATAGGCAAGACCAAGAAAGCCCCCTTGGGCTTGGTACTAAGACACAACATGGCTGATAATAGGCTTGGGTGTAGCTTTCAACTTGAGAAGCTGGGGAGTTCGTGGTTATGTGGTTAAGAATAGAGGCTTCGCTGAAGTGAACACAAAAACATGATTGATAACAGGTTATGAAGTCTTGAGAATGCATGTCTTGGCTAAACTAAACTGAGAAGGCAAGTGTAGTGGTAAACATTACCACCGCAAGTGCACTTGCTGAGGTTTAGACCGATAAGGCAAGTTGCAACGGCAAACATTCTCGTCGTAAGTGCACTTGCTGAGGCATATGTGCCAAACAGATAGTACATAGTACATGTAGAGAGATGCGTGGCATCTTCAGCCTAGTAGGTCAAGGCAGAATATTACATGTGATTCTTAGAGACACATGTCCTCACTTTATCTGGCCATTTGGTATCCTCTTGGTGCTAAGAAAAGCCTATAAATAAGACCCATTTCCCAAGGTCCACCAGAGGATTTTCTGGGAATTTGTGGAAGATGCTGTCTATTTGTGCACTGTCATTCCTTTATTCTCGAGTCACTTGCTTTACCCTCACCTAGCTGCTTATCCTCCAGTCATCCCACTATTATTGGGCCGTTGACATAGTTTTGTCTCTATTATTATTTTCTTAATCTTTGCTTACATCGAACCTCCCTACAGACATACGTATATATATATATATATATATTGCAATGAATATACTTTATTACATTAAAAAAAGAAGTATTTTATTGCGCATCAGCTTGAAGAGCGGCTATCGAAGTCAGGCTTAAAAGAGCCTCATACTTAGTCAAATACTAAATTGAAAAAAGAATAATACCATCATCGGGTACTAAATCAGATTCTAAGATCACCAGCCTATCGAACCGAAGGTTGACCAGTACTTTTGTTGTTGCAGAATTTTACCCCCAATGGTTACCAGTTGAAGAGAGCGGCTCTTAAAACTTGTTTCGTCGTTGCCTGTCTTGCATCGTTTCCATTGTTCTTACTCGCTAATCCGCTTCTCTACCCTCTGGACTT